CCGCTCCGCGGAACTCCACAGACAAATACATATCAACGATCGAGAGGGAGGAACTACCAAATCAAAAGGTCGGCGTTGGGTCGTTACCGAGAGCAAAGAAGAGAAGACAATAGATAGATACTGTGACTCTTTCAAAAAATCAATCTGGCTCGACGCGACTCAAAACCATCCCCTGCTCACCGGGGGGAGCGTTTCGCCCCGGAGCTGCGGGACCTTGAAGAAGGAAGACAGGAAGCAGTCGAGCTGTGGGAGCAAGAAAATCACCCAGAGAGATTGGAGAAGTCGGAAAAGCAAAAAAGATTTTTGCGAAGCGTTTCCACAAGAGATTGCTCATTCGAAGTTAGGGCGGCGGATTTGGCCCAAGGCTCAGGGACGACCAGGAGCTGCGGCTGTTTGTCGCAATTGTCGACAGGAGAGGCACGACTCCTCCGCTACCGAGATGCGGGGAGAAAATTCTCCACGAGCCCGCCTGACCAATCCGCTTGATTTCGATGAAGTTACGTATTAAATCCCGGCTTTCGGCGTCTTTCCCGGCTTTCGCGTCACAGTCGACTTTTTTTGTGGAGCGAGATCTTGAGAAAGGTTCCGTTCCGGGGCGAGAGGTAGTTGCTCGAGTGGGATTCGAACCCTTGGCCGACTCTCGAATGTGAGTCTCGATCATCGAGTGCGCGAGTGAGTCGAGTCTATTGTTGCTCCACTGACTACAGGAGGTGCTGGGAGTCTAGTTGCCCGTAATGATGCGTGAGAAAAGCCAACAAAAGCCGGCGCGAAACACGCCTCGGGCCAGATAGCAATCACGGTCGAGACTGTAAGTCATGCATATTCGGAGGCGAACGAGGGAGAGGAGAATCGCGAAACACAAACACCAACGACGGGCCGTAACTGTCGCGTAGAGTCTTCTAATGGAGTTAGTCGCGACACGACTACTTTGAGTCAATTTGGGCACAAGCGGGACTTACGGTGGGCTTCATGTCGCCGAACTCTGCGCGAGTAGACAACGCGAAAGAGTGCGGGATCAACGCGTTTGTAGAATTCAAATATTCCATATTTCACAATTTATATTCTTCCCTCCCTGCCTCTCACTGGTACCGTCGGCGACGCGACCGTTAGTCCGCCATGCCACAGTCTGAAGAATTGAGTTCCCAAAGGAGTTGAGTTTCTCAAAGAAATTCTTCGGTAATCTGGAGGAAATGCTCCAAAGTATCCGACGTTCCGAGGGATGGGTTTTCCCGGGAGGCCCTGACCTGGACACCATCCACAGATCAGTTCAAATCTGCATCTGACGTGCACTTTGCTCTAACCGCTCGGCTATCCGTCGGAATATTTTCATGAACCCCAGCTTTTACAACCTTGTACTTACGCACGTGTGTATTATACGTATCGCTGCCTGGGATGTTCCTCCACTGGGAGGTTTAGTACGGGGCTCAGGTTCTCTATTCAATTTAAATATTAGGCGGTAACTCTCCCGCGCTAGACAAGGCAAATACGCGGACGGGGATGAGAGAGGAACCCCACTGTCGTCGTCGGAGCCGTCGCGTCGTCTCACTCCTGAAAAGGGAAAAAGTGTCTCTAGATCGGGAATTCCCGCAAGTAGCCTGTACTCCCGGCCGGTTCCATCGCGCAGGTGGACAGCTACTCGAGCAGGAACCAGTCGTCTGTTCTGCGGCGGATGGCGATTACCGAATCGAGGGTCAGGGGAGGATGATACGTAGGTAGGAATGGCTCGGATAGGTGAGCCGTCGCAGGAGAGAATTATCTATGCGCTCGGTTCCTCCCGCGATCGTATATGTCGCGATCGTGAAGTCGCGATGAGTTCATCGGGGGGTAGGCACAACGCGACCGCAATGGTTTTTCTCAGAGCAGGGAAAAGCTCGTGGCTTCGCAAAGAGCAAATAGCTCTCCCGCCGCTCGATAGCAACAGAGGCGGCTGCATCGAAGCCGTCACCTATTTGAGAGAGCCGTGGGAGCAGAAAGCGGCAGTCGAGTAAAGCGAGGTCTGATAGCCGTCTGAGGGAGCGGAGGAAGTCAGGCGCTTGATCACTCAATTTCAGTGACGCGACAAACTACGAACGAATTGCAAGTGCCAAGCAATCTCCCTGTTTGTGCGAGGCTTGTCCACGCTGCCGATCTCCGATCGGACCGCTGCAGTATTTAGAGAACTTCTGTTCCGGACAAACAGTTGAGAAGAATGAAGGCGAAAATGAGGTCATGACGGGAGCTGCTGAGAAGAGTCTAGAGAGACTCCCACAGACTTTTCTTTCTCGTTCGACTCGGTGCTCGATCAAGATATCGCTGTTTCCGTCACTGGGGGTATGTTCTCTCCGTGGGGGATGCTAGCTGCATTTTGTAGTTCGCTCTGCCCGCCGCGGATGTCGAATCGGTAAGCGCTTGCAATGCGACTTCCGGGTAGTCGACCTTTCAATCAATCCGACGGCCGCCCTGGCAATCTGAAGACCCACCGCATGACGCGCGAGAGCACCACAACCCCGTCAAACATATAAAATAGCGAGACTCGCCGCAGAAATGGTGACTGTACAGTTGGAGGGAATCTAGTGTCGTTCTCGGGTTTCTCCTCGGCTCTGCGACGGTAAGACGGAAAATATTCAGAGAGAGAGAGGAGGGGGACGGACTCGCTGGTGTGGATCTTCTTTGTGAGGAAGAGGTTCCCGACGAATAATCCGCGGGATAAGTCAGGAGCCGACGACCTCCTCGCGGCTAATAGGATTATTATTTGAGGAATCTCCCCGGGGAAACATGATTTCCTGTGGGCAGTTTCGACCTTGCTGATACTGTACGTCTGCGTTCCCTTCGCTGAGCTGGCGAGAGTGAATGATGATAAGGTGTTTATTCATTCATAACGGGAGCAGTCTTCGCTCACACGCGCCACCCTTCCAGATCGGCTTTTGTGATTCAAATGTTGTTTGAGAACAGTACTGTACCAGCAGCACTGACGGAGCGGTGACTGGTGGTCGGTGTTTGCGCAGTTCTCGGGGGTGTCTCGCGAAAACAAAGACTCGATACATCAACGGCTGACCAGCGTCATATGTGTAAATATTTGAAAGTCCGAAGAAACACGTGGTATTGCCTCGGATAGGTATTTCCCAAACGGCTCCGTCGATCGTGGACGAAGTTGATTCGGTCGGGCATCCCGTCGAGCTTCGAGAGAAACGAGTTGAAGGAACGTGGTCGCCTGAAATTATTCACGAGATGCTCGATTCCTCCAATTCTATGCCGAGATTCTCCTCTATCTCCCTCAGTTGCCTCCTCGATGCGGCTGTTGGAACCCGCAGTCGCAGATCCTATCGCGGACCGTCGCTCATTGTTTTTTTTAATTATAATTAAATCAATATCGGTTTGCATATTATACTCTCTTTCCCCACATCCTCCGTTCTCTGCGTCCGTTATTTCCCGCAGTGCCCTGTCCGCCTTCGGTGTTTACTTTCGGGTGGGAGAGTCGGGCATCCGAAACCCAAGAGAGGGTTTTTCTTTGAAGAGAAAGAATACGTGTCTCGGCTCGGGGAACAACGCCCAAAAATTACGCACTGCGAACCTGGCTTCTTTGGTGAGATCGAAGCATCTCCGACGGGAATCCTCCATCGAGAAAGCTCTGATTTGATCTCCGGGAGGATGGCTCGGCCGCAGCGAAAGTTCTATCCCTCGCTCTGAATGGGGAGGGGGGAGGGGAGACTCGACCTCGTATTGGAGAAACTCGGAGTGGAATAAAACACCAGACACCCGACAGGGAGGATACAGCCAGCTAAACAAGAGCCGAGGGAGATAAGGAGAGCATACATCGCAGAAGCACCGAGGAAGATGGACCGAAAGCTACTTGCTCTCTCATAATGAATTTCATAATCAAACAGCGGAACGACTGTTCTTTCGCTTTCTATTTCCACTGTCGTTCACGAACGGTCTCCGTCGATTCCTCTCGGGCCTTTTTGAGTTTTGCGTTTTCCTTGATCGAACGCTTGGCGACTTGACGACAATCGCTCCGATCCTCGGGGGGACGAACGGTTCCCATCCTCCTCTCGGTGTCCAACATCGTCCCGCGTCCAGTCAAGCACTCCTGCGCTCGCTCGCTCGGTCGAGACGTCAGCGACGAGGAACGCAGAACGACGCACGGGCGAGCGCTCGTTTCAATGTTATCGACTCATTTCAACGGAAACGGACGAGCAGCGAAAGCTAATCGAGACCCCGTGTCGCTCCCTAAAAGGCTCTGTTTCCCTGGCTGCTGGTGGGAAGCCGCTCGAGTCATTGACTGACAGGCGGACGGGTGGTTCGCGGCAGGCCAGCCAGCCAGCCAGCCGAGGGCCCCAGGCCGACCGGCGCGACGGTCGAGGCGGCAACGCCCGGCCGAGGGAAAAACGCGCCGGCAGAGTGCTACAAGCACCACGTCCGCCTCGTCAGCGCCTCGGCGTTTTTCCGGTGGTTGCTGCGGCCACCGTGGCTAAATGTAGAAGTGACTACAGCACTCGGGCCAATGATACTTGAACCTCCCCAGCTTGAGACGTTGGCCTGTTAAATAATTATCGTTGCTCTTACCCGAGAGTGAAGGAAGCCAGGGCACCGAGAACGCAGCGTACAAGGGGCTTCAATGTTGTGCGGCCGCGTTTTTCTCTCATCCGAAGTATTTGCGGTGCCATCAGAAGTTGCCAAACATTTCGGACTTCCGCTTGAACCTATCAAGCCGGGCCGTGCACTCAAACTTCTGCCGCCTTCTGAGATCGAGTCCGATGGAGGTCAGCCCCCGTATGATCACGAGCCATCGTGACTCAGAAATTCTCATGATTGTTTCTCGGTTCTCTGGTAGCTGGGGGAAAAAGGGGAAGAGGGGAGGGAAATGACGCTCGATCCTTGGTAGACGGAAAATCGGTCTGGTAGCGTACCGAGACAAGACAGTGAGAACGGGGATCGTCCGAACCAGCAGCGCGGGGCTTAGTGCTCTTCGTTAACTTACTTCATCTCTTCCAGAGCCGCCTGGCATGTGGGGCAAGGATTGATGCGACAGGTAGATGCAGTGGTGGCATCTGCTTTAACGACAGCATCACAAACAGCATCCGGGAACGGTGGCCCTGAGAACAAACGGCGGCCTAGATCCCCACAACAAGACGCTCGGAGGGCGTCGCAAACATGTGCTGTGGAGGCCGATATTTACTCCGTGCGCCTGAGGGGCTCACCTGCTCGCTCGTGCTGGCCATATTCTCGTCCGTGCTCGGCATGTTCCAGTTTGGATACAACTTGGGTGTCATCAACGCCCCGCAAAAGGTTCGTCGTCGCTCGCAAAACGCCGCTGTCTGTATCATATTGCACCGTATGACTGTACGACCCCCGAATCGAATCTGTCGATTCTGAACCAGAATCCTCCAATTCAGAATCCGACAGATTCAGAGCTCCGATCTCTAATGGGCTCCCGAGCCGGACATAGTACATATCCAAATGAGTCGTCCGGATATACACATAGGTAGTACATTATTTTCATCACGTATCCGAACTGAACGAGAGACTCGAAAAATGATTCGCCCATACTCGAGTGGATGAGGGTTCATTCCCTGATTTCATATACGGAAAGAATCAGAAGTTCCAGCAGTTGAACCTCTGACACGATGCTTCCAGTAAATCCTCAACAATCGTGTCACCACGTCTCAAACCTCCACGGAACTGGGTACACCGGACGCTGTCAGACAGCTGAGCCAAGCTAGTTGGACAAGTCGGGAGAACTTTGTGGATGGGACTATCGTCGCCGCCATTCACTTCATTCAGTTGTTGCATGTGAAGGAAGGCGGGCCTGCATCGGGGGGGGGGANAGAGGGTGGGGGGGGGGTGAAGCGTCTATTTCTCCAAAGCTTCCCCGAGCCCGCATCGGAGGATGCCCACGATCGAGTCTGGCTTTTGTTGGAATATTTACGGTAGCATGCCTTCTCCTCGGCGGTATTTCGGCGAGGCATTCTTGCGAAATCCTCTCACCGCTCTTTCCGCCTCCGAATGCTCGTTTCCGCATTGGGCTCCCCTGTATTCAAAGGCTGCTTACGCGTAAGAGGCGTACCTATCTCTAGAGTGTTCAGGTTTTCGGTCGTGCAGTCCAAGCAGTTTTCGGTACACGTTGCTCGTTGGCTTCAATTTCCCTCCTTCGCCCTTCATCCTCTTCCCCATCCACGAGTCTTCGACTCGATTCGGTCGAACGCACAGCTTCCAAATTATCGGTCAGTCGTTTAGACGTGAGCCAGGAGCTGCAGGGATCGTGATAGTGAGGTAACCCCTCTATATAAGCTGACTGGGCCTCGGAGTGCTCGGCGATGGCGAAACAAAATCCCTACCAATAATGACCGAACTCATTCCGCTCCGTGATTTCTGGCGTAGGCTTCAATTTTCTCGAGTGAACTGAATCGAGCTTTCGGTCTGCTCGGGTCTTGTCTAGACGAGCCATTTTTGGTCCATTCTAGCGATGAGCGTTTCGATCCCTCTGGAACTCCGTCTTAATATTATGTATGACCGTTTGAGCCGGTACACCCCATTTGGCCGCGACCGTTCGGCCGCGGGACATTTGGCCGCGACCCTTTGGCCGCGGGACCGTTTGGTCGCGGGACCGTTTGGTCGCGGGACCGTTTGGCCGCGAGACTGTTTGGCCGCGGGACCGTTTGGTCGCGGTACCGTTTGGCCGCAGGACCGTTTGGCCGCCGTGGGACGGCTTGAGAAAATGAGCGACCGGAAGGGACGGCTCTCAGGAATCTTGTGCGAAAGATCTATGAGGGAAGGCTTCAGGGTTTGTTACAACGAGGAAGTCGGCTTCGTGGTCGGGATGCAGAATACGGATGTATCTCCCTGAACGTATGGGTATTCAGCTCGTCTCTATACATGGCATACCAGAGAAGACCCGAGTCGAGTATCCAAGCGTTTCGATTTTTAGCAACCTCAATCCTGGTCTCGGCAGCTGAGGTTCTCAACAAGTGGAACGTCCCCAGCTTCCTTTGGCAAGCGTGCATGCGACAATTGACGGCATCAACAAAAACACGCAAAGTTCAGCAACATTCAATCATTTGAACCGAAGTCATGAGCTAGGAATCCTCCAGAAGCAGCATGTCTGAGTGCCCGACAATCGTTAAGTCTTCCCGCGGGAAAGACAAGCTTTGCCACCAGGGTTTCATGCATGTCAAACGTCACATGAGCGCTACCTTCCGCATCATATCACCGCTCATGTTTTTTGGGCGGGAACGTCTTGAAAATCTCCGCGGGTTATTCCACCCAATCCAGACCGCGGCTAAACGGTTCCGCGGCCAAACGGTCCCGCGGCCAAACGGTCCCGCGGCCAAACGGTCCCGCGGCCAAACGGTCCCGCGGCCAAACGGTCCCGCGGCCAAACGGTCCCGCGGCTAAACGGTCCCGCGGCCAAACGGTCCCGCGGCCAAACGGTCCCGCGGCCAAATGGTCCCGCGGCCAAACGGTCCCGCGGCCGAAAGGTCCCGCGGCCAAACGGTCGCGGCCAAATGGGGCGCTCCGGTCTGAGCAATCGGCGGGAGCGGGAACTCCCTCTTCGAATCTGGATTGAGTAGGAACCGTGAAGAGCCTGAAGATGTGAGCGCATATATTCTGTTTCCGGGGACAGAAAGATCCGTTATTCGAGCAGCAAAAACTATATTGAGGCTTCAGGGAAGTGAAGATAAGCTCCGCTCGGGATATTCTGCTTGAACTATGTGCCACGGCGGCACTACACCCCGGACAGGGCTCATCAAAAGGGCAGGTGAAGGCAGGACACATCGTCATCACCATGGCCATCACGGCGACAGTGTATGGGCTCGGTGACATCGACAATCAACGTTCTCTAAAATAGCATCGTAAAATCAGAGCTGAAATGTACACGATTTTTGGTCTCTCGGAATGCGTGGAGGGGAATGGGAGAATCAAAGAACGAGATTGACGAACGACGACAAATCGGTACGGGTTTTCATAGATCGCGTCTCTAGTGCTTTTCATCGAATTGTTCCTTCTCGTTGAACTTCTATTCGGCTGGTGGATCGTTCGGTCGCTCGCCCGCTCATCCGACTGGCTGGTCGGCTCGCTAGCTGGTCTCTCTTTCGGATGATAACTGGCTTGATAGGTGGATGTCTGAGTGGTTGGTAGGCGGGAGGATCGTCGCTGAAGGGCCGTTTCGAGACTCGAATGTAAAAAATCTCATGCTACGTCGCCGTTTCCGCGGCTGCAGCTGCTGCGGCGTCGACGGCGGCGGCGACTGCTGCTCCTGTTCGCTGGATGTCAGTAGATGAGATTAAATTCCGAGCCGCTCACCCGCCCGCTTGCCCGAATCGCGGGGGCCACACGGAGGAGGATCTTCGTCTGGCTGTCATTTGCTAAAACTTCGAAATTACTAGAACCTATTCCGCCCGTGGACTCGACCGCCGCCGCCGCCGGTGCTGAGTCCAGAGGCTGGCGTCGAGCGACCGAGCGACCGACCGACCACTTCCGTCGAATTCGTCGACCTTCCTGTCGCCACCGAGTGTTCTTGATCCCTCCCTGGATTTTCTTCATCGGAAAGGTGCTCAGATTCGGAGCCTATCGGCCCGAGATGAGCGCCCCGCACGGATCCAGTGCATCGTGGTTATAGTGGTGATTATCCGTATAACTAATTACGTCGATCGCCGGAATCGCAGCCGTGCGGCGAGCACCGATTCGAGCTCGATCGCCCCAGGAGACAGCGTTCGCGCGTTTCCAGGTAGAAGGGAAGAGAAAATTCGTCGGGTGGCTTCTCGTGGCTGTGAGCGAGTTGTGCCGGATCCGCCGGCAAGTCGAGAGCGGGGCAACTATATAGTCGATCTGAGGATAGGTCTGAACGCACCGAAGGACTTTCTAATATATCGCCGCTAATAAGAGCCACTAGCAGCGCCCTGAGACCAGCGCAATCGTGGCATTGGTGACAGCACGACCGACCGTTCTCACGGACGACACGTTAAACAGAGGTCGATTTCGCCATGCCCGCGCTGATACGACATTACGGCAAGGGCAACGGAAAAACCCAACGACGAGTAACGGGATGCCGCGACGTTGTTCTCGAGCGCCGAAGACGCAACGCAGGGGTTGCTTTCCGCCGGGCAAACCAGCGACAGGCGAAGCTCGTTCGTCTATCCGTTTGTTTTACAGGAAGGAGTTTATAAGGCTCGTTGACGTGACAGATGCTTCCCGTGACAGTTTGTTGGCGGGAAGAGAATATTTGCGAGCT